TTTTTTTTTGGTTATAAAAAATGACGATGAATTTTGACTTTTGCAAAATTGTAAACATTAGTCAAAATTACCTAAATTAAATCTATAAAATCCATGAAGTTAGGGTGCATATATAGCTTATCGATTTTTTTGTAATAATTTAAAAAGAAAATTCAAAAACTGCCAACAAAAAAATGCATTAAATGCTGGTTGATTTTTTGTCACTAGTTTTGGTAAATAGAATCTCTCTTTGTATATATATAGATATAGTTGTACGTTTATAATTAAAAGAAAAATATATATAATATGCATCACTACCAATTTTTTATCAAATATTTTGACAAATGCCCAAAATATATTTCCAACCAAGAAACGCCCCCTTTCTGAATATCTGCAACTTAAGAATTTTCTCAAACTCCAAAATGTCATTCCTCTGATAGGCTGCGATCATGTTAGTCATAGCCAGAATCTCAGGATCATTTTTGTACCTATAATGCAAATGAGAGCATTGAGGTTAAAGTTCACACTGTACACATAGCAAAATCAAGATTCTAAGATCATAATTAATTAACTTACGGCTTTGCCTCTTGATCATCAAATGGGTTGACCTCAGATTCCATCAGCATATTTGCCAGAACCAAATACCTGACACATAAACACCATGTGGTTGAGTACAATATAACAGTATATCCCAAAATTATATCAGTCTACACACACGAGTAAATATGTAAATAGCTCCTGAGTACCTGCATAATTTATTCAGGTGTAAACAAAACCCGAATTCCACCAACCGGAATATAACAAGAAAAGACACTTAGCTACATTACTTATTTAGAATTCTGGTTCAGGCAAAACCTAGCATCAAGCACCAATAAACACTAGGCACACATGTATACTTCATTCAGTACGAATACAGTAACAAGCAGGTGTATATAAACAGACATGCATATTGCAAGTACCATCACTCCTTTCCAATCACGCAAAATACAGTTAATGAAATAAAGTGAATACTTTAAGCACTGGATGCGCCTATGGTTCCCAGCTTCATCATAGTTCTTGAAAGCTTCAAAGAAATCTGTAGCAGCCTCGGCCCACTGCCGCTCAGCCATATGCATTTTGCCACCACATTCACGAATTATCCCCATGATTCTTGGATGAGGGATGGCAGATTTAACAGTCAATGCCTTTTGATACAGTTCCTAAACCAAATTGGGCATTGGGCAACTCAAATAGATGGTTAATATTGAAGTATCAAGTGATCAAATATTTGTATAAGTTGAAAAAGTTGCTTTCACAAAGTGAAATGCCATACTCAAACCTACCTTCAGCTTTTTGTTGTTTTTAGTCTCGGTGTACATTTGGATTTCAATGGCATAGACTTCCAGCAACTGTGTGCCTTTCTTCTGATCATCAGTACCATCTTCTTTTTGACATGATTTGTGAAGCTCCTTCAGAATCTGGCCAGGGATGAGTAATTACTTTCATATAAACAACTAACTGCTATATGGTTTCTAAAAGAATACCTTGCAGCCACAAAAAAGAGAAAGGAGAGAGAGAGAGAGAGAGAGAGAGAGAGAGAGAGAGAGAGAGAGAGAGAGAGAGAGAGACTAATGAAGTGTGGGATTTTGAGGGAGGAGAGCGTGAAAAGCTACACCTTTCTAAGTTTGGGCTATTATAAACCATCTATAAACAAACTTAGACAGGTGTATCTTTACCTAATTACAAACTTTCAGATGTATCTTTATTTAATTGCAAACTTAGAAAGGTGTAGGTTTCTAAATTTCATTCCTATATGAACTGTAACAAATATTTATATATTAATAACGATATTTACCTTTGTGTTTGTTCTGAATATGTCATATGTATCTCTAAGAATATGGACATTTGTTCTCATCATCTTCGGCCATGAAATTCGGAATGAAATTTAAGTTAGTTACATAGTTTATATATAGAATTAATAGTACTAATAGTCTTGTTCTGTTTGTATATATAGATTTGAAATAGTAAAAATATATTGTATTTAATATATGAATATGGTTACTTTTTTTTGGTGTTCTTTTCATTATTTTTGGCTGGCAACTTCTTCACCTTTCAATTATGTTTCTCCACTGAACACATCAAATAAAAAAACAAAAAATGGTCAGGATTTATACAAAATAGAAAGTTATTATACTATATGACATAGATTTGCTGAAATTTGACAAACATAACAGGTTTATTATTTAATATTATTTACTATATTTGGTTTAGCAGGTTAATGAGTAACAAGTATAATTATTTACCTGTTGAACAGTATTCTTTTCTAACATCCTCACTGTAATGTCTTCATACATAGCATTTTCCAGTACAATCTTCTGTTTGACCTATTTTTTGTTCACCTCACATGTCATGGGATTAAAAAACATTGTGTTACTATAATTTTGTACAATTCATGAGATAGTGGAACTTATATGTTCACGTGTGTTGAGTGTTTTTACCTTAATATATCTTTAAAAAACATTGTGTTACTATAATTTTGTACAATTCATGAGATAGTGCAACTTATATGTTCACGTGTGTTGAGTGTTTTTACCTTAATATATCTTTAAAGTTGCCATATAGTTAATCTCATGTATGTGTTGTCTGCTGAATATATCATAATAGACATGTATATAGAAAAAATTTATTAGTATTAGCATTCATGTATACAACAATCAAATGCTAACGTCCAAACAAAGTTTATTTTAAAGAGCCGTTCGAAATAGGAAAATTTGTTTACTAGTTCAATTAGTCAGTTTGTGCAATTTTTGTACATAAACATTAAAAGAAAAACGAAAATTTCAACATGTGAATGAGCTGTAAATAAAAATAGATAATTCTAGGGGACTTTGTTTAAAAGGGATAGTCAAAGGCCCTTACATGTTTTTTTCTTTAAGTAACCCATTCATTAATTAAAGTTAAATAATTAATTGGAATACCAAAAATATCTTTACATGCTAAATGACCATAATAGCCCTTTTCAATTTTTGGTTACCAACTTTGTAATAATAATAAAAAAAAAAAGATCAGAATTTTGATCGCTTCTTCTCCCTCGCTCTCTCGCTTCTTCTCCATCGCTCTGGCTTACTTCTCTCTCTCTTTTGCTTTGCTTCTCTTGAAAAGGTGAGAACAAAATATAATCATCTCTGGTGCATTAACTTTGTATTCCATATTGCAAAAAAATGCGGTTATAGTGGAATATCAACAATGAAATCATGTTAGGGTTTGTTGTTATTTTAGAGATAAAGTATTTTGGTTCATATTTTATGATTTATAAACATGTTGGTTTCATATTTATCATGTTTTTGTGCCATTAAAGTTTTTTATTTTTATTTTTTTGTGCACAACGAATGTACAGTCGTTATGTATTTCATAACGAATATATATTCGTTACTTTACACAGTCGTAATGTCGCGGCCGCGGGACGATATCGCGAGTCGCGACACTAGGGTTGTTCGGTGGGACAGACAACTTGCCAGGATGCCGCGGCCGCGACGTCTGTCGCCGTAGCGACATGCGCAACTGTCGCGGTCGCGACTCGCGTCGCTGGAGCGACGTTCTTGCAAGCTTTCTGTCCGAATATAGGCAATCCCAGTGTCGCGGCCGCGAAAACTGTCGCGCCAGCAACGATATGCCTTTGTTATATAACGACTGTAGAATTGTTATTGAGTGTAGATCCGTTATTTGATGTTTATTTCATAAAGAATGTAGTTTTGTTATCACATAACCCATTGTTTTTAATTATGACATATCCTAATGTAGTTTCGTTATGACATAACGAATATATTTTCGTTTTGACATATCCCGATGTAGTTTTGTTATGACATATCTCAATGTAGTTTCGTTATTTTACTTTGATATGCACGTTTTACCTTCAATTTCTTTTAGATGATGTTGCATTTGATATTGCATAACGAATGTATATTCTTTATTTGATGATTTTCTCATAACGAATGTGGATTCGTTAGATGATTAAGAGCATTGTATATTATCTTCTAATGTTTGCACAATTATCTTGTTGAATTAAAGTAACATATTTTTTTTTCTTGTAGATATTAATTTTTGCAAAGATGGTGTGGATACAAGTATGCTACTATGTTGAGTTTAAAAATAATACGGATGACACTTGGACGTGGAGATATGTGAATGAAGATGAAAAGATGTCAGAGTTATTTTCGTACGCGACGACATATCTTTCTTGGAACTTGAAGATGCGGTCATGAAGGTCATAAAGTTCGATAGCATCTCACACGTAATAGAATTGCGATCACTGAACCCAAGATTGATGAAACTTCCAGTCCCCCCTGTGAAGATCGATTCTGATGACACAGTCAAATGGTATATATCTATTTGTGACGATCATCCTCTTTGCGTAACACTTGTCAAAAAACTTGTTGAGGAAGAAACGAACAATGTTGAAGTTGAAAAATATCTTGAAGTTGAAGAAGAAACAAACAATGACAATTTAGAGGCGATCGAAACACTTACGTGGGAAAATGAAATTACCGAGCCGCTCGAAGGTCAATGGAACATTATGGTAGAGAATAGAGATAGTCCTATGGAAACAAATGTTGAAGTTGAAAAAAATCTTGAAGTTGAAGAAGAAACAAACAATGACAATTTAGAGGCGATCGAAACACTTACGTGGGAAAATGAAATTACCGAGCCGCTCGAAGATCAATGGGACTTTATGGTGGAGAATAGAGATAGTCCTATGGAAAGGAACCACTTTGTTGATAGAAGAGGCGCGTGAGAATTTTTCAACACAATATCCCATGGCTGGGAATGCAAGCTGCTCTATGAGTCCTCTCCGTTGTCCATCTTCTGTGATGATCCCAGAGAATGAAGATGTGCAATGTAACAATATCTTCTCAACTAAAAAGGACTTGGTAGATAAAAATTTTTTGTTGGCCGTGAAGTACCACTTTGAATTTCGAGTGGTAAAATCAACGAAGACCTTATATGTTGTTGCTTGTGTTGAAAGAAATTGTCCTTGGAGTTTGAGAGCGGTTAAGATAGATAGTGGTGAAATTTTTGTGGTACGCAAGTATGTCGGTATTCACACTTGCTCTATGAGTGTGCGTCGTAAAGATCACAAGCATGCAACGTACAAGCTGATTGGGAAGCACATTTCCGAAAAGTATAAAGATGTCAATCGGATTTATAAGCCGAGGGATATTATTTTTGATGTCCAAGAGAAGTTCGGGATAACAATCAGCTACACAAAAGCATTTATGGCAAAGCCTCATGGATTTGGTCTCATTCGAGGTTGCCTGGAAGAAAGTTATGCAAAGCTCCCTTCATATTGCTACTATTTGGAGCAAACAAATCCTGGGACGGTCACTTTCATCGAAACAAGTGTGGACGGCCATTTTAAATATTTTTTCATGGCTTTGGGGCAATGCATTCGTGGATTCCGCTCTTCTATCAGAAGAGTAATATCTGTGGATGGGACGTTCTTGACGGGGCGATATCGGGGTACTTTGCTCATTGCAACGTGTCAGGATGCAAATCTTCAAATTTATCCACTTGCTTGGGCGATAATAGACTCCGAGAACCATCTTTCTTGGACTTTCTTCTTTGAAAAGTTGAAAGATATAACAGGTGATTCTCCAGATATTGTTATAGTTTCGGATAGGGGAACCAATATTCCTGGTGCTTTTGTTGATGTGTTTGAACATGTACATCACGGATATTGTAACTATCACCTGTTAAGAAACCTAAAATCGGAGTTTCCAAGGTTGGAATTAGACGCATTGTTTTGGGCAACAGCCGAAGCCTACACGATGTCTCATTTCGAAAGCAACATGGCAGCATTATGCAATAAGCATAAGAATATGCGGGAATACCTCGAGAAAGTCGAGTTGCACCGTTGGGCTAGAGCACATTTTAGAGCAACGAGATTCAACATAATGACTATAAACAATGCTGAATCGTTGAACTCTGTGCTAAAGCGTGCTCGAGAATTTTTTTCTATCCTTGGTCTGATTGAACATATTCGGGTTACACTGCAAAGGTGGTTCTACGAAAGAAATCTAATTCTACAAAATGCAGTAGTATTCTTACGCCACCATTTGAGCATAAGATGCGCAACAGTTATAACGAGTCCAATGGACTAGAAGTGCTCAATGTATCCCCGATCATTTTGCAAGTTGGTGGAAGACATATAGTTGATCTGGAG